ACACACACACACACACACACACACACACACACACACACACACACACACACACACACACACACACACACAACCACAGAGAGATAATAAAGAGAGGGACACCTTTCCTACAAGAGACAGGAGAGCAAAAGAGAAGAAAAAAAATTAAGAAATAGAAAGCCCCCTCCTCCTACTTTTTTCCGGTTGAAGCTGGGTTGCTGGCACCAGTTCAGCTTTTTGTTCTTAGTTTCCTCCCTTTTACCACTCTCCTCCGTCTCCCCTCCTCTATGCCTCTTATACTCGACAAAGCATTTCCAGGGAAAAAACACGCAATGTCTGATATTCCAGCAAGCAAATACAAATAGTTGCCATACAAACTGAGGCACTCCCATAGTTGTTGTTGTTGTTGCTGTGAGCACAGTGAAACTTTCCTTCTTTGTCTTTTCCTGACAGGGTCAGCTTACTCACTTAACCATTCACTTATTCACATTTTGATTTACATTTCATAAAGAACTCCAAATTTGCACTTGCATGCTTTGTATTGCCCTTTCATCACCACACTGGTGGTCAATACCATTCACTAAAAACGTGTTACTCATAGGTCTCCAGAGCCTGCATAAGCAAGCAAATTGATTCAGATGAGTTTTTTTCTAATGTTTGTTTTATACACTGCCTGCTCTTGTGGTGCACTCTGTGAATAAGCCATTATCTCCCTGTGCTACTGCTGACCTGCAGCAGGGGGCAGCGGTCGGGAAATGAGCATAAGCGCTGGACTCTGACCCGTGTGCAGCTCACAAGCGAAAAAGAACTGTGAAGCTTCAACCTTTTTCCACACAGGCCATCTTTCTACAAGACCCCTACTGATCACATAACGATAAACACCAGCTCAGAGCCGAACCAAAGCATCTTTGCTTCTCAACCCATCCGACGCACTCTTCTTCCCCCCGGGGCCCTTGGAGCTCTTGGGGCTGTGTTTACAACACGGCTGAGTCAACTGCCTTTTTTCTAAGATGTCTTTCTCTGGATCAGCACTGCAGCAACATGGATTTAATGCTGGCTGTCCAACACCTGAGTGCAGGGAGATATGGAGCTGTACATTCCTTTCCGGTGGTGACGTAACCATCAGATAAGGTCAGAGCACAGGAGGAGGAGGTCATGGATAATATGTGACTAAGTGCTGCAATCACCCAACTGAAAGGCACTTTGCAAATGAGTCAGCATATATTTACTGACAAATAAGTGTGTGTGTGTGTGTGTGTGTGTGTGTGTGTGTGTGTGTGTGTGTGTGTGTGTGTGTGTGTGTGTGTATAAATGTATCACGCTGAGCAGGCTGTTTTAAATGACAATCTGGATGTAAAACACAGTGTTCTTCTATCCTCCAGCTTGATGTGAGGGGAGGTATGTGCCGGTCCCTGCTGTCCTTTTCCTCTCCTGCAACCTTTCATTTCTCCACCAACAAACTGAAATTCAGGAACTGCTCCCGCTCCCTGACACACACACACACACATGCACATAGTACCCTGGCTGCACCATTATACTGGGAAAGAACACCCTAAACAGGCACACCCAAATCTCACAACCAGACCCGCATATAAACACACACATATACAGGGGCAAACATATACACAACTTCCTTGCACGCGCACACAGACACACACACACACACAGACACACACACACAGGCGCACACAAACACGCTGCCCTTCAAATAGTTTTTCGCAGCCTTTTATTTGGCTGCACGCCCAGCGGTTAGAGTGTTTCATTTTTCCCTGTGTATGGAACTGGGCAGCTGTCCAGACAGACACACAAAGAGAAAAAGAGAGTGAGAGAGAGGCAGAGAGAGAGAGAGAGAAGGGAGAGAGTGGGAGGAAGGAATGGGGTGCAACTAAAAGAATGAGAGCAGCAGAAAGGGAGGGAAGAAGAGGACCAGCAGAAAAACAAGAAGAGAGGTGCCTAGACTCGTTTGCTACTGGTTCCCCTCCGAAACCTTATGATTGATATGATCCTCTCCTTTCCTCTCTGTAACACCTTGTCACGCAGCCTCTCTTGGTTTTGACACCATACCGTCTCCCTCTGCCCCCGTGGCCTTGTGCACTAACCCCCCCCCCTCCCCCCTTCATCCCATCGTCCTTTTCTTCTTCTTCTTTTTTCCCTTTTTTTGGAGCTGACCATTTTCCTCCTGTGGGAACTACCACCCCACCACCCCGCCCGCTTCTCCCCAGCTCCATTCACAGCGCTGCTTCTCTGTGATCTGTGTTTCTGACAGGTCTGCACACACACACACACACACACACACACACACACACACACACACACACACACACACACACACACACACACACAGAGTTCCTCTGCAAACAAACACCATGAATACTAACAGGGCTTTGTATCCACAGCACTTAAAACGGGATAGAAAGGCGCGGGTTGGGAAGAGGGAGGGGGCGGAGGGGTGAGCGCAGCGAAAAGGAGGGAAAAGCGATGGAGGAGAAAAGAGGAGCTGTGGCACTGTGTTGATCTTGTGGCCACTCTCACAGACCTCCCCCCTCCCTCCTTGCCAACCCCCTTATCCTTGTTTCTCGTTCTCTCGTTCTTCCCACCAGTTCTCCCGGGAATAAAGACTTCCATTCATGCGCCTGAGGCAACCCACAGCAGGGGAGAGAAAAGAGGGAGGAGAAATGGGAGGAAAAAGGAGGGGTTGTCAAGGTGGGACAGTTTGTGGATCACTGAGATCAGGCCTACTGCCTAAAATTGTGTTTGTGTGTCTGCATGTCTGTTTTCACTCAGCATATTCCCGCTCAGCCAGCGCTTTACTATCTCAGATCTGGTGGCATCTGTGCCAGACAAAGCTTCATCTGGGAAACTTGGGTGGGAAAGTTTGGAAACTGGGCTCCATTGAAAAACTTCCACTCTCCACTTAATGCTGCAATTCCAAAACTATGCGTTCAGCCTACAGCCACAGTAGGAAAAAGGGGCTCGAGCTAACTTTTTCTGCAGTATTTTCTTTCTTACGTGCCTTTTTATGTACCCTTCCTGCTGAGCATGATCAAGCCTTCGATCTATTGTGTATTCTTCCTTTAGATAGCTGTAAAGCACAAGCCGCATTCAAGGCACAGCAGTAGGTCTCAAGTAAAATGTTTCCTCCTACGTCCACAGCAGTAATCCTTCAGATTGGAGTGCTCCTAAAGATAGCAGC